ACTGTGTTGTTGAGATTACAATCATTTTCTCAGTGCTCTTTGAAAAAACATACCTGGATCATTCAGCAGCATTATCAGGTCAAAAGCCGTGTATCCATTTTTTGTTCGGAGATTGACACCAGCTCCTTGATTTAACAAATATTTTACAACTTCTGTGTTTCTTCCAGGGAGAAAAGATAAAAAAGAGAGTCACATTAGGAGAAAAAAAAGGGGCGGGGAGGGGGGGAGAAAGAGAGAGAAAAGCCTAATATTTAATTCCCAAACTTCTATACATTGCTCCTCCATTAGAACACAGTGATTTAGTTTTTCAATGGCTAAGCAAGTCTAAAATTTGCCCAGAAGTTATACCACAGCTCCTGATGCATTTTGCCTTCTCCTTAAAAATTTGTCACCCAGCCCGCTTTCCATTCAGGGCATACAGAGCAACAAAACACTCTCCTCATGCTGCTGCTGCTGCTCCTCCTGAGAAGGCTAAAATTAAGGTTCTTGGAGGCTGATGATTTTCCACCTCCCAGAAAACACGAAGGGCAGTATTTTTTGTCGATGTGCAGCTCTCAGCTGCACTCCCTGCTTCTCAGGACCCCAGTGGGATCAAAATAGCTTCATCTTCACCTTTGTAAATGGTCTCATCTGTAATAACTGGGAAAACTTCAGCTCCTCCAAACAGTGATCCACTACTCAGATAACCTGCCTGGATGCGACCTTGTGCCACGTGCTCTGGGTGTCCCTGCTTGAGCAGGGGCGTTAGACTAGATGATCTCTAGAGATCCCTTCCAACCTCAACCACTCTGTGGTTCTGTACGTTGGAGATCTTGTGTGCAATATCAGACCTGTTTCTGAGGTTTGATTCTTAACTGCCACTGTTCATTTATAAAACCTTCGCAGTAGCCTCAGTGAAAGAGCCAGTCAGGTCTCTGGTGGGATAAATCTCAGAAAAGACAATGGAAACTGAAGGTTATATAAGCCTCAACTCATAAGAATGGTAAGACTGGAAAGCACGGCACATGAAAAGGTGACTGAAGTTCCACAACTTGATGTAGACTGACAGTCCTGATAGGAGGTGACATTATCTTACAAAACACTAAAAATAAGCCAAGACTGAAAGCTAAAATCTGCACAAAAATTCCTGGTATCTACTTGGCACATGAGGCTTTCAGCACTTCCAGGGCAAGGTTTAAGCATCCAGGTACACTATCCATTTATTAAAACCAAAATGGTGTTCACACAATGGTGTCCTTGAAAACCTAACAGCACTATAGAGTTGTATAGAATTTAAGCACACAATTCCTCAAGTTCTTATATGAGTTACCTGCTTCCTAAGCCAATATCCCAAAAGATTTTTCTATTTAAATGTAGGACAAAGACTGAAACTTACTTATTGCTAAATCTCAAGAAAACATACAACTTACCCATGGTACGTTGCCTGCATTAGTGCTGTCCAGCCATGAACATTATCCTGTTTGTCAATATCTGCATTTTTCTCAACAAGGAGCTGGACAAGGGGCAGCTGTCCAGTTACAGCTGCAATCATTAGCGGTGATGCACCATCACCATTAGTAATATTGACCTGACCTGGGTCTTCTTCAAGAATCTCTTTAAGCAGCTGAAAGTTTCCTACAAAATAGTGATAAAACACAAGTAACAAATAACTGCTTAGCCACCGAATTAATAGCTATTTTGATTTACTAACACTAATGGCTAATCAGTGGAGTTAAACCAGAAAAAGTAAAGCATACATTACTCTATTGTTTCACTTCCATGATGTTTTTTAGAATTGTCTCCTCTTTTTTCCTCTTTTTTCCCCTCCCTCTACCTATACCTACGCTACAATCCCCTTAAAGAATCATTTTCCAAAATAAATCCACTAAACATAAAGGCTGTATGACACACGTGAAGACACTAATAAGGGATGTTTCCATAAAATTGTCATAAGACACAGAGTTGTACAAAGAAAACTGTTGAGGATTCTAATCCTGCTGAGAACAAACCACGGCGTTTCAGCTTATTTTCACAAACAGAAATCACGAAAAAGAATTTTTATTTCATTTTTTTTATTATTTCTTGAAATAGGAAACATACAGAAGTACAGAAATGATTTTTGTGTTCCAATTCAGAAAAGATAGCAGATAGCCTTTTTGACACCAACTTTTATCACACACACTGTTAAACAAAGTGTTGGAGCCTACAGTTTGGAGCCTACAGAGGCTTCAGAGAAGATCTTGACCTCTGGCCTGGACACTTCTTAACCCAGTAATATTTTTCTAAACAATGTTGTCAGCTGTAGCCAAGAATTTCAGGAGAATCAAAAGGCATTTGGCAACCAGTATTCCCCTGGCTCCCCTAAAACTTCAACTACCCCGAGATCAACTGGAAGGACAACACGGCCAGGCACAAACAGTCCTGGAGGTTCCTGCAGAGCGTCAACGATAACTTTTTGATGCAGGTTGTGGAGGAGCCGACGAGGAGAGGTGGGCTACTGGACCTCGTGCTATCAAACAGGGAGGGACTTGTAGGAAATGT